AAACATACATCCCTTAAGTCTTGATCAAGGAAACTCTAATATAATATTTTAATTCATTTTAAATAAGATTGAAATTCATTGTAATATTTTTATATAAATAAAAAATTTTTAGACATTTTATAAAATTTTTGATAGAGCTTCCCCTCTCAATCAGTGGCGGAGCCACGTTTGATTGAGGGGGGGTAAATACACCCCCTCAATTTGGCAAAAATTACAAGTATATGGTGAGAAATTTAATATTTTACACAATTACACCTTATATCTTTATATTTTACACTTATATCCTTAATTAATTATTTAAGATCACTCAAGTCTTATTAAGATCTAAATATATTAATTACAAATTTTCCAAACCCATAATAATTTAGTTTAAGCATGATAAATTTTAACACAAAATATTAAACTCTTACTGTACATGAGACGACCTTCATAAAAAAAATCATTATTTACCTTTTAATTACAAAATCAAATCCAAATTTTTCACAATAATTTTTTTCATTATTTACTTTTTTATTTCTTGCTCAACAATATAATTTTAAAACATGAAATCACAAAATAATAATTTTTTTGTGATTATTTTTCACCTCTATTATTGTAATGTATATAATTATTTTTCAATTATTAAATGTTTATTTTTATAATATTAATATTTTTAAATTAAATCGCACCCCCTGAGCTAGGGTCCTGACTCCGTCACTGCTCTCAATAAAGTTTCCCAAAAACAATTCTACAACCATTTTACAAAACAACAACAACAGCAAGGAACATAACTCTATTCCTATAAGCAAATAACCAAAATATAAATAATAAGGACGACAACTGTAACTATATCTTATGTGGAGCCCTTGATATAAAAATTAACAAAATATAATACATGGGTTTAAGGTTGTGTTTGGATAGGTGGATTTAAGTTGGGAATTTGAATTTAAAATCTCATATTTGAAATCTCACATTTGAAATTCATAGTTTATTCTTTGTTTGATGATATAAAAAATTTTAAATTACAATATTAAAATCCATTGTTTAAATCTAAAGTAAAATTTTAAATTTTAAATTCTATATTTGAATTTAAAAGAAACTTGGAAGATTAGTCAAACTCGACGATTTGAATGACCAATTTCTAACAAGATCAGATAGTCAAAGTCGACTGGGACTGTGGCATCGATGATGACCGAGACAGGACACCTGACTTCTATAAGGACTAGACTGTCATGATGACATGGACCTGATGGTTGACTTCTACTAAGATTGAACTGATGGGGACTGAACAGTCGACTTCCACTGAGACTGAATTGACAGAGACTAGACTACCGACTTCCACCAAGATCAAACTAACGACAATGACGGGAATTAGATGACCAACATCCACTAGGATCGAAAGGCTGCCTTCTACCAAGACCGAACCGATGACGACCATTGAGGCCAAACCCACGGTGATGATTGGGATAGGACGGCAAACTTCCATCGAGATGAGACCTAGTGGAAGTCGACTATTAGGTCCCATCAACGCCATTGCTCCAGTCTCGTTGAAGTCGGTCGTTTAGTCCCTGTTGTCGCTATCAGTCCGGTCTTAGTGGAAGTTGGGCTTTTGGTGCCAGTCGTTGCCATCTATCTGATCCTGGTGGAAGTCAGTGGTCCCCTCTCAATAATCGCCATTAGTATAGTCCAATTGTCAATATTGATTCGGTCCCTATCTATCCCGATGGAAGTCGGTCATCTCGTCCCTATCGTCACCATTCGTCCCATCCTGATCGTCCCTGTCAGTCCGATCTCGATAGAAGTTAGCCGTCTAGTTTTAGTCGTCCCCGTCGATTTAGTCCCAGTGGAAGCCAGTCATCCAGTCTCGGTCAACGATGGCAGCTTGTTTCCGTTAACTTCAGCGGACTGGTCCAATTACTATTAGCAAGTCAATCAAACCTTCATAGATTTGGGTCAAATTACAAAAGAGATTGAGTTAGGATTTGAAATAATAAGGGTTTAGAAAGGATTTCAAATTACAAAAAGATTGAGGTAGAGCTTGAATTTGAATTTGGGTCAAATTCAAATCCACACATTTTTAATTACCCAAATAATGGATTTTGCTCAAATTCAAATCCAAACCTATATGTATCCAAACATAGCATAAGTTTACATTAAAAGAAGCTTGATGTACAATTCCTCACTTCAACTAAATACTATAGCCCCTCAATGATTAGTGGAAAGTACAATATTAGCTAACGTATCTGAGACCAAAATAATAATTTTCAGTGAATAACATCCCAATAATAAATAATTAAACATGAATGAAAGAAAAGTTTGAAACAATTGTGTAAGTTAAAGAGACAATGATCTTCATAAAAAATTTAATAAACTTTAAAATAAAAGAATTATATATAATTATATATAACTTTAAATGAAATCTTAAACCATTAAATTATCATATCAAATATTGTTATCATTTAATTTCAAAGATGCAAATAGATGAAATAAATAATTATAAATATATTACTAATTAAAACAAATGAGATATAAAATCACCAAATAATCAAATTTATATTTATAGGGATTTACAAGAACAATTAACAAACATGGACACACAGTTCATGAGGGTAAATAATCCAAACGCAGCTTATGCTATAAAAACAAACGTGGACACATAGTCTATGAAGGTAACTAACCAAATGCAACTTATGCTATGAAGACAAATGTAAACACACAGTCTACGAGGATAACTAATATGTGCCTGCGAGGGTAACTAATCAAATGCAACTTATACCACAAAGACAAACATGGACACACAGTTCACAAGAGTAACTAACTAGACATGGTTAAAACCACGAAATAGATGCAAAAACACAGTCCATGAGGGTAAATAACCAGACGCGGCCGAAGCCACGAAACATACGTATGTACAAGACCTACAAATAACAAACATGAGAACAAAGCTCATGAAGATCAAACTAGCTAATCATGAACCAAGGGTGCCACGGACTAACAGGACTACCATTAACAACCAATATTCTGTATAAAGTCCCCTCAAAATTCATTTTTAAACATGCGAGAAAATCATCACTATTAAAATACAGTTTCTATTCTCAAAATCAAACTCGCCAAAATAAAATTTCATAGCTAATGTCCATGCTTGTATTTATTAAGAAACCAAAATTACCATAATTGATAAAAATAATTTCATCAATCTTGAAAGTATACTTCATAAGAAAAATACATGCACATACCATAATTTAATTATTCTTCTCAATCACTTCATAATTTCACAAGATAAAGAAATTTAAATAACAAAATATCCCATACTTAACATATTTGTTATTAAAAATAGTCTACATAAAAATGTAATATTTTAGATAAATAATTTTATTAGTAAATCAGTTGAGATGTTATTCACTTACCTGATGGGTTCTCAAATAAATAATTTACTCCTAACTTGTCCTCTTGTAACAATGCTTGGTCTTTAAATCCTATTGCCCAAGTAATTCAATTGTTATTTTCTACTCAACACACCATTTAAAAAAAATCTAACTCCAATCTCAACTTTCATTAAAGACAATAAGTGATTGTTTTCTAATAATTATTTAACTAACGGCAATATAATCATCACATATATTTTACCACAATTTCTATTAAAAATTTTTTCCTCTCACACACATTTTATCAAACACCTCACAAGCATGACTCTCCAAATTAAAATTCTAAGCTCTTTTTCTTTCCTTCAAACCTCATGCCCAAACTTCGAATGTCAATATTTAAGTTTATCTACCCCCTCAATTCCAGTCTTAATATAATAATCAATCTAAATATGTATTGAATATCATTTAAACACATCTTTCTTTTTTACAACAATCAAAATGTTTAAGGCATAATTACCTACCTAAACTTCTTGGCCCATAATGTAAGCTTGCTTTAACATCATCTTCTCCCTTACCCATGCACGGCAGCTGACACAAATGGAGAAGAACAAAATTTTAGCCACCGAATCATACCCATGCTCACACTGGACGAGGAGGAGAAGAGAAGTGGGAATTCCTTCACCTGAGTAGCAAATGAGAGATGGGATGAGAGGAACGAAGCTTTCCCAAACACATGAAAATTCCACACTAAGTCAGTGGCGTCAGAGCAGGAAGAAAGAGAAAAGGACGCTGCCACATGACAATAGAGAGGGAGGAAGATATCAACGCTGAAACAGGGGAGGAGGAAATTTTGTGAATCAAGCTTCCAACAGTGTCAGAAAATCTCTCTTTCACTCGCTGATAAAACCAACTCACACACACCGGCCACCGATAGGAAGAAGACGGAGGAAGAAGCAAGAACCAAGAAGATGACGCAAAGCAGAGAAGAAGAACAAAAGGAAGAAAATTTGGTGCACCTTCGATCTCCAGAGGCGGCAGCGAGAGGAGTACCCATGGTCACCGGCCAACGGACACACAGGGAAAAGGAACGATAAAACTCTCTCTCGGAGCTTCTGGAGGAATCAAAAACAATGGTGGAGGAGGAGAATATTATATTCGTGAACTCAATTTCTGACAATCCAGTGGACCCCAACACTTCTTGTTAATGTCCCTCTAACAATTGATAAATTACATAAATTTGTGCAGTTATTTATTCTAATTTTATAATTGTATTATGGGTTATTACATCCATACACACGCAAGTAAATCTAAATCCATAAATTTTAAAGTGCCTAAATAAAAATAAAAAATTTAACCTAAATTTAAATCTAAATTTAAATTCATATATATCTAAACACAGTATATAGGTGACTTATAATTCATGTGAGGCCCTATTGCTTTAATGGCTTAAAGGTAGCCAGGCCTTGTTCATATGTATTCCATAAGTTAGATTACATAAAATCCTATTGAATAGAAGCCCTAACCTAAATAATTCTTTGAATAGCCAATTTTCCCACATCAATTAAGCTTAATTATTTCTTGTATCTCATGCAAAGGTAAACTGCCAGCAATAATCCACAAATATTATGGAAAACCACACAAACAGGTACTCTTTGATTAGTTGGGTTTATCTAGCCCAACGAATTTTTCAAATGGGATTTGCAGAAACATTCTTCGTCTACATGATGATCCATGCTGCATAAAAAACAGACATGAAAGTATTAGCGCTTGATACATCCTATAGAATATTAGAATAATATCTCTATTATAAAATTTTAAATAACAAAACACATTTTTCCTATAATAATAGTACGTGAAAAAATAAAATTATATTTAGCATTTATACTCCAAAATAGAGCATAAATAAATAATTCTATGTTACATATTCTAAAACTTACCAAACAGGCATGGAGATCATGACATCCACATAAGAGCCTCCCATTCAACATATCCACAGCTTGAAATGATCCTCCTCCTTCACTTCTCTATTAGTGGTGAAATGAAATTGTGAACATGGATATATACAAATAACATAAATACGGGATATGCCATAATTGTGAATATAAAATTAGGCTTCATAAAATAGGAACATAATTTAACATAAAACCGTCCAATATGGCCTTAACAATCCTAGCCTCCTCTGTGGTAGCAATATGGACAGGTTCTTATGTGTTGTTAAATATTGGACGGTTCCTTTAATTGTCCAATACAGATTTCGTGAATGTACGACCGCATCATATTGGCCGGTTCTTAATCATCTAATACAGACTTAAATAACCTTGTAATATGCCTTTTTTTTTTTTTTCCTAGTAGTGATGGCACAGTGATATGATTTAAAAAAAATTAGTTATTACTAAAAATTTTGAAAATAGAGACAGATTAAAGACTGAAAAGTTTCTTTTCAGATAGGATTAGCAATACTAAAATTAGCGGTGACTTAATTTTTCATTTTTGTGTTAGAGATGGATTCTGACTCTACTATAAGGACGCCTCTAATTTCACTTTTTTTTCTTTTTTTTGTGGTAGAGAAAGTATCAAAATTCTCACGTATGAGTATTTGAATTGTTAAAATGTTGTGTATGGTAAAAACTGTTACCTTGTAAAAGTCAACAGCAACAAAATTGGCCCAGCGATTACCAGCTTCAACATAACAAGAAGAAAGCATGTGGATGAGATCTTGTGAATTATCTTTACAAGCAGTTAGTTTGATTGGAATGGTTCTGAAGTGATTCACCAAAACCAATGATATGCTTTTGTCATTCAGTTCTGCTGACTCTTCCCGTTTTGGGCATTTCCCTTTAACCATCCCCCTGCGTCCATCTGCAATAATAGTCTCAAAATGCATTATCTTCACATAACAAAACTATCGAGTTTATATAAAAACTGAATTCTATGATTTCTTGTTATTAGATTTGAATTGTTTATAGTTGTTTTCTTTGTTTTATTGGTTAAAACTTAAAAGAGAATGTGTGCTAGTCTTTTTAAAGAGAGTTACAAAACAATTGATTAACTTGCAAACAATAAAGTTAAATTATTTTTTCTAGTTAAATTATACGTAATATTTTGTAAACGTTGGGGCTAAATGTAAATAACATCCTTAACCTTTATAAACTTTATAACGAACTTCTTAAACTTTTAAATTTCTGCATTTTACCCCCCAAATAATTTTCCATTGATTCACTGATGAAATATAATATGACAAAAAATTTATATACGCATGACTAAACAGCTATATGAGAGTTATTATTTGTAGATAATTCAAAGTCTAAAGATGTTATTTGCATTAAAAAAACAAACTTTAAGAGGGTATATAAGCAATGACATTATGAGCCTGTTGGTGAAATAACATGATGATAATTAAGGACATGAAATCTATTCAAATTAATTTGGAAGTTTATGCATATGTTTTTTTGTCAAGTTTTAAATATCAGAGATGTGATTTGGAGAGAGTTATAATTTGATGCCACTCACACTGATTTTCAACCATGAAGTTCCATTGGTAAGCTATGCCTTCACTTTCTTGCTTGTGTTTCTGAGAAGTGAAGACTATGAGCCTATGGTTTTTAGCAAGCATGTGCTTGACTAAAGGCCAATCTTGGCCATCTTGAGGCATGCTTGCGAGAGGAAACCAGTACTTCATCAAACCTGAAGCCTTGAATACTTTGGTTAACCCACATGGTAACTCCACATGATCTTCCAATATTATTGTCAAAATTTCTGATGGATTCCCTGCAAGAAACACTTCTACTTCCTTTAAAGCATTTATCAAAGGTTCCTGTCAGCAAAATCACACACACACACACACACACGCAAATAAACAGAAATATTCATCAATTAACTATGTGCAGTTGATAGATATATCAACAAAATTAAAATAAAATCAATATTAATTCTTGTGAAAATATTTTTATATCCTATTATAAAATTAATTTTTTACATGATAACATAAAATGGGGGTAAATGGAAAATTAGCCTCTAAACTATAAGTTTAAAAGTGTGTGGGTGCCCAAACTCATTTTTTGTACAATATTTTCTTTCAACATTTCAAAACATTACAATATGGCATTTATCATTAATAAATGTTAACTTTGTTTGTTAGTTGATAAAAAAATTATAAAAAAGACCTCAAAAAATATAGAAATTGACCAATAAAATTTTCTTAGTCCTTTTCTATAATTCTTGGGTTCTTGTTTATAATTTTTTGTTCCTTTTCTATAATTTTTTAATTTTTTCTATAATATTTGGTTCTTTTTTTTTTATCATTTTCAAGTTAAATAACGATCAAAATTAACTTTTGTTAACAGTAGACATAACATTATAACGTTTTTAAAAGTTGAAGGTGAACAATGAATCAAAACTAAATTCAGGATCATAGACTCTTGGACTTATATATAGTTTATGGGCCAATTGGCCATTTAACTATAAAAATTATTATCTAAAGAGGATTGGGTTGGTCAAGTTCTAAATTTATGACTCAGCCCAACTCAATCCAATTTTTTGATTAAAAGAAAATGATAGGGTCAGTAACATTATCCATTATTGACTTGGTTACTTCTCACAAAGTTACATTTGATCTTGTCATCTACAAATCAATCTCTCATTCCAAGACAAAGTTCTGACTCTAGTCTAACTATTTAACCTATAGTTATACTTGAATATTAGAAAAAGATATATTATATTAAAAAATAAATATAATGTAGTAACATATATTAAGTTGGTAGTAAGTAATGTGGCACTTACAAATGCAGTAAACGGATTACATTTTCCCAAGAAGGAATGGCACAACCAAACGTCTCCTTTGTAGTCATAAGTGTCCAACATAAGAGCTCGAACTCCATTCTTCAAAATTAGTTAAATTGATGTGAATTAAGTACAAGATGATAATACGTCATTTAAAAAAAAACATCAATATACTCCCTCCGTTGTGTTTAATAAAGTGTTCTTAACTAAATTGCAAGGACAAACGAAGGTAGTTAAAGTTAAAAAATAATTAGAAACCGTAACTTTTTTAAAAAAGAGTAGCAGTACAACTTTCCAAAAGTGCCTTCTATCATTTTAATACTAAACCTTAACTCACATTAAATTATGAAGGGTATTTTGGGTAATGATTCATGCATTAATGTATCATTGTTTTTCGAAAAAAAAACAACGCAAAAACAATCTTGTAAAACCTATCAGAGTAATGATTAAGCAAGTAAATAGAGTGACGATCTTAATATTGTTTTGCTTACATGTAACTGCTGTGTTATACTATCTTCTTGATTTGAGAAGGTAACTCTTGGAAGCTCTGTAGTGTTTAGGGTTTGGTTTTCTTTTGGCCCTTCTTTTTGAATTGCAAATGAGTTGTGTGTTGTCAAATATGCATATCTGTTGAATGGAAGAGAATCATTCTGCCAAAATCAACCTTGTTAATTAGTATAGTATATATTATTCCAACCCAAGAAAATACATCATTACTAAATGATTAAAAAATTTTCATTATTAAGATGTTCATTCAGGAATTTATTATAGAATAAATTACAATCCAAACCTCTTAATTATACAAACGTTATCATTTTGAAGAATAATAATAAAATTAATATCTTAGAAAATTACTTCAATATAATATCTCCTAAAAGCTTTTAGAACTTCAAAATTATCTTCCAAATCATATGTTGACCTTCTCTATGCAATGCAAGAGGATATATAAAATTTTGAAATCACAAAGTAAAATAAGAAAAATAATGTTACTACAAGTTGATGATCGAGATGTTAATAATGGCAATAAACAGTAAAAATATATACTTTTCATGTGTATATAGAATATAGTAGATAGATTGTTAATAATAGAGCTTTTACCCATGTAAAATTTCTCATCCCATAATATTATCCATGTAGTTCCCAAAAAGATGGACAAATTAAAGAAGGTAATGAGCCAATTAATATTGTGATTTCGGATTATATCTCTCTCACTCTGTGTCACGCACTCAGAGACACAAACTACAAAAGTAGAGATCACTCTATGGAGTAGAGAAGGGAAATTAATATAGATGGAGATATATATACCAAAAGATTAAATGGGTTTGAAGTTGTTGATCTCACACATCTTGATCCCTCAAACTTTATAGGACAAGAACTGCAGAACTGCCCCACTCCACAGTGTCTTCTGCTTGAGCATTTTTCAAGAACCTGAAACTACAAAACAACGAATTCACTATCTACCAAATAATTAATGAAACTCCTGCTTCGCCACTTTTGTGCGTCTCATATCTCATATATGATTCACACACACACACACACACACACACACACATTGATAAACGATGGACAAAAAGAAGAACCTTATTGAGATTCTTATTATGATCAGGAACAGAAGAAGCAGAAGATGAAGAGATGAGGAAGATTGAAGCAATGACAAAAGGTAGCAGTAAAGCCATTGAAGAGAGCAGAAAAGGACAATGATCGACAAGGAGGTTTCCGGTGTGTTAATTTGGAATTTGAATATGAAAGGTTGTAGATTCGTTTATTTAAACAAAGGAAACTTCCACTTCTGTGCAGTTATCAATTTTTTTAAAAATCATTTATATTTGATTTAAAAAAAACTAGAAATTTTATTATCATTATCAATATTTTTTAAAATTATTAGATCAATCATTGAATTAGTTAAATTATTTCAATATTAAATTACTTTAATTGTAATTGAACCGTTGTCCAATTGAACATAATGAACTAACATATTTTTAAAATAAAATTTATCTTTATTGATTTTGGCGAGTTCTTAATTAGTTTTCGATTGATTTTCAATCAAATTTAATGTTTTTAAACGATACTTTCAAAAAATGATAATTTTAATTTTAATTAAAATAAAAGAAAAAATTGGTAAAATCATTTAAATTGGAACTGAACAATTTAGATTTTATGTGGGTGTGTGTTATATATATTTCACATATTTAAAACAAGCAATGGATCTAAGCAAGTGCTTAGGTTGTTTTAAATGACAATGAAGTTAAGAATGTAACGTCTGATAATGTAAACGGAAATGCTACTTATAAGAACCATCTGTCTAGTGTCCCTTGAATTTTTGGAAATTCAAGTCACAATTGGTCTATAAGGGGAAATATGTTTTATATGAACATGTCAAAGTTTGTTATGTTCATAATAAATTAAAATAAAGATAATTTAGTGCCCATCGTGTCTCAAATAGAATTTGGATCATTTAGATTAAATCTAGATTTTCAAATTGGTAATAAGCATTTATTATTTTTATACATTTTTTAAAATAAATATAAAAAAATAAATTACAAGATTTAAATTTGCACCGTTAAAAGCTCATTAGGGGTGATAAGCACCCAAGATGATTCCTGTACAGCCATGGCCACCCCAAACGGCACATAAGCGAAATAACGCAATCATGAAAATACACACAAATTCAAGAGTAGTGACCCCAAAGCTAAACGTAAGAACAAAGGCAGATAGATCACCATCCTCGATCATTGTATACTGAAATGAAATCTGGCTGAACTTCTTCAATTTCACCAAAACTCATCTTAGCTAAGATAGTTTTGAAATCCATAAGTTGATGCCCTTGAATGTCCATATTTCTACGTGCTCTTAACACCAAGTTTGACCTTATAGAAGTCTCATTATTCACTCCCTTCAATCCTCCTTCGTAATTTATCTTGGAAACTCTTATTTTTCTAGTGTGAAAGTCAACCCCATATTGGAAGGGAGTTCAATCTCTCTTTGCTTGCTAATAACTATTGTTGGAGTCTCATATATGCTAAAGATGCAGAGATGTAAAAGAAAAAAACCCTATAGGAATGATCAACCCTTGTGGCAAATATTTTTTCTTTTTTTGAAAAAAAAATTGAGTTAGATCCCATGAGCTTGGTAAAGCCAAGATATGCCTACAAACAAATTCCTTATGTCAACAATGAGATTTGATCTTACGGCCTTGTAGGTTATGGATCAAATTCTTATCTCCTAGATTAAGAACTTCCTTATTTTTTGTTTTAAGAGCTGTCTTATTTGCTTGCATTACAGCTAAGTTTTTTGGAACTTGAGTGTAATTTGCAATTGGAATAGAAAGACAAAATTGCCCTTGTTAAAATAATCAAATTGTTTCAAAAAAAAACTCAATCTTTCCCTCACCTACAATTACTCTGCCCTAGCCGTCGCCCCTTGCTCACTCATTACCGAAGGTGAGTCATGGACCTTGACCGAGAGGAAGACAAATGATGCGTGAGCCTTGCGAGTGATAGAGTCGAAGGCGGTGAAGGCGAGGAATCTTGCAAAACCCAAAGGAATATTGCAATATCTTGAGCTGGTAATATGTTGCCCGCTTTTTTAGATTATTTTGTGTTGAATAATTTTGACCAAGCCAAATGATAAAATAGAATGTTTAAAGGTCTAATGTTAGATGTATTGTATAGGTCACTTGTTCCCCATTATTATCTTGTAGGCCTACTATTCTATCTGTGTTGATACTTTAGGATTCTATATTTCAATATTTCTTCTATATGAATATGATGTTGATCGTGATTCTTTCAATTGTTTGAAGAGAGATTACCACTTCATTGAGTTTAGGTTATAGTCCCATTGAAAGAATATGACTAGATTTTTTAGATTGTTTAGCAAAGAGCATGTTTTGTAAGCCTTATAGGACTTAATTTGTGAATGCCTGGGCTTTTTAGAGGGACCCATAATTGTACAAGTATGGGAAAGACCTGAAGAGTTCATTCTAAAGAGATTTAAAAAGAAGGAGATTGATTTCAAAGGATAAGACTTAATTTGAATATATCCCATGTTGTTCAGGAAGAAGGATATGTCCTGTGTGTGTCCTTTATTTAATTTGTTCTTGTGATGTGATGTTGAAAAATGCTAAATAAAATGTGATGCTATTATGAAGTTGAATATGATGTTTGGGTAAATGAAAGTGGAAATGTCATGTTCTATATATATTGTAATTATTCTTCCTAACAAATGAATGCCGCATCAAGCACGTGGAGATGTTAATTGGATGGTACTTTTATTTGTTTTTATTTTTGGCAGCCTCTTGGAAGGTAAATTCCATGCGTATAAGTTATCTTTAGCCCTTGAACTGTTGCTTCTGATGGAGATGCTGGATGCATCATCTCTAGCGCCATTGTTCATCCATTCTCTAAAGATTTTCCTTACTCTTTCCTTTTCAAGATCTCCAAGATCAAAAGAGTTTTCCCAACTAGAATTGTTTAACTCGTCTTGCTTATTACGAGATCCATTTTGACCTTGTGATTGTGGCCAAGTCTCATTCTTGCCCAAGACTAGAATATGCCTCTATTCAGTAATGAAACTATCAGTGCTTGGTTGAGCTTGATGACTCACCACATGCTCATCCTTAATCTCTTGCCATATCTATAAAAGTGAAGATGACCTCCCTCTATTTGCACGCCTACTTGATGATTGAGAATGGGAGTCCCTAAGGAAAGAAGAGTCAAGCACTAACACATTTTACACACTAACAATAGCCATAATTTATTTTTCCTAACAACAAAAAAAATCCTTACAACCCATCTGCTCGATGCACTAAAATTCGCATTAGGTAACAAGGGGTGGAAAATCAAAGCACTCCTTTTATTTGGCTTTATAGTTATTAGCCCTATCAAGAAAAGAAATTTCTAACTCAGTAGAGTGATACTATAACTATATCTTAGCCTACAAAAGAAAAGAAACAATTAGTCGCATCAATTTTGTATCTAATCCCTTCCTTCTGAGCCAAATATATAAACTTGAAAATTGATAAAGTGATTGACTTGGGTTTTAATTTTATATCTAATCCCAACACATTGAATCTCATGATTCCAGTGTGAACCTTAAATTGAACAAGCTCAGGGAAATTGAAATAACATGATTCCAATTTTGTATTTGTCATTGCAATGCAGGCTCAAGCGTAAGACATGATATTGCAATGTGAATCTCATGATTCCACTATTATTTTTGGCCTTTTAGGAGGTAAATTCCATGCATGTGGTGTCACGAATAGTGAATAATTGGGATTCCTTTTAATTTTGAACATATAAAAAGAAGAGAGTTAGAAAGGGGCCATTATATATATGCAATCATATATTGTGTCAGGTATCATCACAAAAACAAACTTAGATTGCATAAAAAAATGACTTCTTACGCTTAAATTTTAACATAGTTTTGCTTGAATATATTATTTATATAGGTCAAATCATGGATAAAGGAAAAGGAAAAGCGGTCGAATCTAAGAAACCTAATTATGCCAGTTACCATCTATTTAGACAAATATTTTTTAACCAACCGAAAGCGAAAAGAGAAGGCAAAAGATTGGCTAACAAGGAAGTGGTAGCTGCTTGGAAAAATTTGTCCATGGAAGAAAGAAAACATTATAACGACCTAGCTACTAAAGAAAGAGCAAGAAGAAGCACCAATGTGCCAAAACAAAGTGTGGTATGTATAGGATCAAAGACATGTTTTTTTGTTTTTTTTATTTTGGAGTATAGGTGAGTGACATATTTATGTAATTAACAATATCCATTTAAATCTCGTTGTTCTCCTAACTAATTTGCTGAGGTTGGGGATCTTGTAAAGAAGCATCAATGGATGAAGAATAAGGTTGAAAAGATGGGGTTCTCATAGTTATTAAACATACAATGCACCAAGATACATCGAGAATTGTGCTTCAAACTAATGATGGCATATGACCAACTTGTGTTTATGTTTCACAATTGTTCACCATTCACTTACAACTGAAACTTCCTATTTTACAAGTAAAATTTCTTAATTCATGAATCATATTTCTTATTTTATAACTAATACACTAAAGCACTTATGTTTATGCTTCACAATTGTTTGCCATTCGCTTACAACTGGAACTTCCAATTTTACATGTAAAACTTCTTAATTCACGAATCATATTTCTTGTTCTATAACTAATATATTAAAACACTTGTGTTTATGCTTCACAATTGTTCACCATTCGCTTACAACTGGAACTTCCTATTTTACAAGTAAAACTTCTTAATTCACGAATCATATTTCTTGTCTTATAACTATTATATTAAAGCACGTGTGTTTATGCTTCACAATTGTTCACCATTCACTTACAACTAGAACTTCATATTTTACATGTAAAACTTCTTAATTCACGAATCAAATTTCTTATTTTATGAACTCAAGAACTTCACAATTAAAATATAGAAATTAATAAAACATAAATCTAAGTTAATCTTTCATCAACACTATCATATAAGACTGTCATAAATTCAAAGAAAAGACATTTTAAAAATGAAAATGAACTAGTTAAGTTCTAGCTTGTTAGGTCATGTAGGGTTAGGATTTCGACATGTCTTATGCATGTGGCCACTTTGTCTACATCTTGCACAATGATAAATCTTCTTGCCTTGTGATTGAGACTCCCTTCTCATTAATTAGGGCTGACCAGGAGGATGAGAGTTAGTAGGGGGCCTTAGGAAGGTTTATGTCATCATCTCAGTAATTGTTAATGTATTCACTGGTGGCATGTCATTTGTCTCGATAGGAATTATTGTGTCCTTATATATTTTCTCCTGAGATCTCAAATGATAACATCCTTCCACATATGAGTACACATTACCATGGACCTTTTTTATAACTGCACATGCATGGGCACAAGGGATCCCAGACATCTCCTAAGCTTGACATGTACATTCTTTAAGAGATAGGTCAACCCGTAAATGAATGTCTCCTATCTTCACACTCAGCAAGTTACCTAAATGATGGTTAGCTAACATTACTTTTGTCCGTGCAATATTAGCCTTCAAATTTCCCTCAATGTTTGGCCTAACACCATTCGACCACTTGCTCATAGCAACTTTGCTTGCATACATCTTACTCGCAAGCTTTTCTTGATGTTCAAGAAGTAGTGTGATTGCACTATATTTCCTTTCTTTAACTAGCCAAACATTGAAAGATTTGGATAAATTATTAGTTATGTTGTCCCACCTATACGAAGGGAATTTTGATAAGGCCCATCTATCAATGTCACCATTAGTTTCCAACCATTGAGCCAACTCTGGATAAAAAGCTCTCAAGTTTCCTATTGCACTATTAAATTCAAGATCAATTCTAGCATATGCTATAGCATCCAACAACTTCAATACATCCTCCTTGCTTGGTGTGGTAGCCCTTCTTCCACATCTTCTAATCTTTACAAACTCTAAACTAAAATTTTCTTTGATATGCCCATAGCAAAATGCATGCCTATCCCTTCCAAAAATAGCTCCCACAACACCAATAATTGCATTGTGTCTATCAAATACAATAGTCACTTTCAAAGACCCCATAATATCTTTCAAGTTATGCATGAACCAAGTATATTCTTGTAACTTCTCCCTACTAACTATTGCATAAGCAACCAAAAATAAATCATTATCTGTATCATGAGCAAAAGCTGATAATAATGTTCCTTTGTACGGCTTGCTCAAGTGACATCCATCAACATACAAAATAGGTCTACAATAATTTAAAAAGTCATCTATGCAACAACCGTAAGCAATAAACAACCTCTCCAACCTATTATCATTGCAAGCTGTCTATTTTGCTGTTGTCCTTAGATCTTTCTTAGTCAATCTTTGACAAATCCATGGAATCAACTTGTATGAATCTTTAGGAGCACCATGCAACTCCTCCATTGCTCTCTCTTTTCCCCTATATGCCTAGCTATAAGTAAAGGTAAGCCTAAAATTCTTAGTACAAGTCCCATCTAATCTCATTAGGAGTTTTGTCAACATTTGACTTTAGTTCATCAATTATTATAGATGAAGTTAGATTTACGTTAACCTTCTGCTAAACAACTAATGTATATTATGCTGAGTATGCATACTCATTATATAATGATATTACCCTCAATATAGGACTTATTTCAGAAATGGCATATGCACTCACTCTCTATTTACACCCGTCTACCTTGCACTTTGTAATAACTTTTTTTGTGTTATTTTTCACAAAACTATAACTAAACGTATTTCCAATGCTAAACTTATAAAGTACTTGTCTAAATTCTACAACATTGTGGAATATTTGCCCAGCTCCATAGAGCAAATCTTTCCATTTCAAAGCATTAAACTCGAGCAATGATGCTGGTGCAGTGCTTATTGAAAGGGGTATCGGTTCAGGGTTCATGGTTAAGTTCATTCAAGCTAATTGAATATCCACTAATATGTGACAATATGCAATAACAAATAAATATCCACCAATTAAACCACAATAATTCTCAAATGATGTTAAGTAAATATTACAACTTACCCCTTATGTGACTCGATTACCATATCTATATTACTAACATCATCGCCAACAATATAAACATGGGTAGTATCGTTGTTAAACTCTATCAAATTAGCAACTCCTTCATCATCTTTAAGGTCAACTAATGTGTTTATTTTAGGTTTTATGGTATACTTCATCTCCAATATATTTGTTTCCAACCCAATACAAGATCTCATAATTCTTTTCAACTCTTCAAGTGTTGTGCCTTCATTAATTGCTCTTCCTTTTGGCCTCCCACCTTCATAACGTATACTCCCATCCTGATTCTTCACCATTTGCCCTCCAATATGAAAATAACAATATACTCATTTGGATGAGGAACTTGCCATCATACACGTATACCTGCTGAATATTAACATCATCATTATCTTCTTAAATCAACAAAGTTTAAAATTAATTGTTTACAACTACCTTATTGTTAATTTACAACTAAAATATTAAATTTTTACAACTGAAACTTCACATATCTGATGGTTACATTAATCATACCTTACTAACAAGTTTAGTACTAGTTGGTTTACAATTACTTTATCAGTAATTTACAACTAGTATTTCAACTTTTCACAACCCTAACTTCACATATTCAATAGTTCAACCAATCATGTGTTTTCAATAATTATGAGATCACTCACAGAAATTTTGTTCTCTATAACTTTTTTCACTATAATTGAACTCTGTTTCTCTATTTTTTTAAAAACAAATTAATTCAACAGAGCAAATGTTCAAATCTTCTTATATCTAGCAAATTTGATGAGAAGTTTGAATATTGAATAATGAAAACTAAAACTTAAAGTAATGAAAACTTAAATTAAATAATGAAATCTTACCAACTAATTTAGGTAAAGCCTTTAGCGTGCAAAGCAATTATAGTACCAAGGAGACAGAATGAAGATTACAATTGACTGTGATGATGAATGATGATGGATTCTGCCTTAGCAATTCCCAAAGAAGAGAGTGAGTGATGGACAAAGCAGAACATGAATAAAGTAGAACAGACAAAATGAATGAAGCAGAATAGACGGACTGATGAAGGAGAAGAACAATAGCGGCAGTATAAGCAATCATGGACATGAGAGACTGAATATAATGGTTAATTTAAGTACAGGGATATTTTTGTCATTGTAACCTATTAAGTAGGGATAGTATTGTATTTACACACATATTATAAATTACACTCCTGTCCTAGAAAACTTAGCTGTAATTTCTCAATTTTGCAAAACTTATTTTTAAATAAGTTGCTTCCATAGGACCTATTCATAATTTTCCCTAAAATAAATTATTGACATGGTGGTGATGTGGCAGTAAGGTCCAAGTGGCCACGACGTGGTAGGTGGTGGGTGATATGTACTTGTGAGATGACATGGGAGGTAACATGGTAGTTATAACATCCCAATTTTTAATCACCTGATTAACTAAATCTAATTAGGATAATTAAGTAAGTTGAGGTTATGTGTGGTCAGAGAGGTCTAATAATCATATTTGATTACATTTCAACCTAAATTGTGATCCAGTATTAAGGCAGGCCACCTAGGTATCAAAAGGGAATGAAAAGGAAGAGTTAATATTGTTGTGTCACATGTTGTGGCGTGGAGATCACCCGCTGTGACGCACAGACGCTTCTGATACGAGCGAGGACCCTCTGTGCCATGTGCCATGGTGCATGATCATTTTTTACAGATATCAGTCATAAAAATGAGATAGAAAAAGAGAAAAGAGAAAAGAGAGAATGGAGATACGCACTAAGCTCTACTAGGGTTTACTTGTGGATGACTTTGAGAGTATTTTGGAGGCTACAAACATCCAAGATAAGTGCCACACTCATTGATCTCCCCATTTCTTCCACATTTATGAGTTTATAGTTAGGGCTTGATTGTGGAAGATGATTTTCAATCCATATAAGTTATGGGTTCAAATTTATTGACTCAAATGGAGTTAATAGGAGTATATTAGAATATCTAAACCTAGATATAATAAATTTTAGTGTCTTGGGTTGTTGGGCACCATTAATATCCAAAATTTCATTTAATATGGGTGGTTGGAAGAATATGATGCCATTAATGAGAGTTTAATAGCTCATTAATGTTATTAGGGACTAAAGATAGATAATAAATCTAATAAATAGGCTCAAACTCTTGTAGAGTAGATATTGGGCAACTTAGAAGTAGAGAAATGAGGGTTTAATGCTTGAGTTGGTAAGGTTGATGAAATTCAATTAGTTGATTGTATTTTTGGCTCTTGATCACCTATTTGGCTTGGAATTCAAGCTTGAAAGCTCTTACATTGAGGGATAAACCTTTGACTTCTCAAAGGTTTGAGGTAATCGAAGGAACCCTACCTTGGTTAGTTATATGTTAATTGATTTTTAATTGTGAATTGTGAATGTTGCATGCATGGATTGATTTTTTATGTGAAATTATGCATTAGTTTTAATAAGTGCATGAAAATTGAATGTACATAATGTTATTTTTAGTTTAAAATGCAAATGCGAAATGAAGATGTTTTTGAATTATGAACATGCGTAAGTTTTTGGAAAAATGAATGTGATGTTATGTTAAGATAAATGTGTTTGATGAGAAATGAATTTTTGAGATAAGTGAGAATAATGTTGAGAAAGTGATGAGAATATATACTTAGGTAGTGCATGATTGTGAGCCCAACATGATTATTGTAATAATGAGTAAATAAAAATGAAAATGTGAAAGTGATTGAGTATCATATATGGCATTATCAGTGGGTGAGAGTTTACTTAAGGATTGAGAGTAGAGAAAAAATTCATATGGTATTTAGACTGCCCTCCAGTGTACGGGGGTATAGCCTTATCCCACAGTTTGTCGAGGGAGTGTCCCATAATTTGTCGAAGGACTAGAACCTAGCTATCTCCACTAGCTCAATTAGGAGAATAACCTAGGGTATGAGATACCTTAGAGATTTGAGAATGGGAGAAGTTGTGGTCCAAGAGTAAGTCATGTGATCTTTGGTCAGGTTACACCTCATGATTGGTAAGCTTGAGGTAGTCCAATCACACGAACGAAACCTTAATTAATGTTATAGCCCATGGTTTCAGTCTAAAAAATTAAGGAGGGTATAAGGTTGGTTGATCATTGCCTATATAAGTATATGACGTGTCACACGTATTGAGTTGTGGCAAGTTGCGTGAATAAAGGGTCATGATCACATATATGGGAATATGGTGACAATGTGCCAAGTATATGTGAGACAAAAAGTTATTAATGAAAAAGGATGAGTTATGATATGTGTATGAACATGTTTTAAGTATTTGGTTTCATATACATGTGCTTGGTTTATAATTCATATATAACTGCATAGAGTAGGTTTTACATTAGTTACTGAGTGGCTAAACTCACCCGTTCTATTTAACACTTTTTAGGCTCTAGCTCTTGTGCAAAGAGGGAGAAGACTCAAGAGGCTAGAAATTAACACATTTCTATAGTATGCCTCTAGTTTAGATTTATTTTGTGTAATAGCTTATATTTGCCAATTCTAGGTTGCATATTATCACACTTGTACTATTTTTGTTGTTGCAAATGATTGATTTGTATTTTAGGCTTGAGTAATTGTGTATGATGAGATACATATGTTTAAAGGGCCAAGATACTAGTGCAAGTGTAGAAATGATGTTTCGAACATGTTTTATTCGATTTGGATACAATGCAATGACAAATTGCTTTTCCCTTTGTTTTTGGTAAAAAAGGGTTAAGGTGTGACCAATCAAGCGTGGCAGAAGCCATGAAACAAGTGTGAGTACAATGCTCATGAATATCTATCCCCTCGTTCCATATGTGTTGCCCTATGTATGGGGCTAGCACCTTCTATAAACACACCGTGCTAACTAGGTGTACCATGATACATCAAAGGCTAATGAAACTATTATTAACAACTAGCGTTCTGATTCGATCCCACGCCTTAAATCAAGCATACATGAGTCATAATAATAAATTATTCCTCAAGTCGTAAAATCAAACATTCCTAATATATTAAATAATAGAAGACACCCAATCGTAAAATAATTCTGACTCTTTATAAAACTTTGTACAGTAGAAACATTTTTATTTATGATAATTGATAATGAAATTTAAAATATAACAATATAAATAGTCATGAATATACTTAAACATTATTGTGAAGAGAATAAATTTATTAACAAGTCATTTGTGATGCTATTCACTTACCTAAAATATTTTTTTTAATTCATAGTTCACTTATTATCACTTCACTCGAACTTCTCCTCTTCCGAACACCCTATAAAATATAATAAGGTTTTGATAAATTTTTAATCAGGTCAACAGTTCCCTTTCAACATTAATATAAAGGATTGAAACTTTTAGAACTAGGACTTTTCACATGAAAGTCCCTCACTAGTGATTGTTGATTTCTCCATTTAAATACCATCTTCTCTTAATCTTCTTGTCAAAACACCTGCTATACCTGATTTCAATTCCACTCATAAAAGCTTTTAGCATTCAAATCTTTTATCACATAGTTACTTTACAGCCATCTATTTTCCAATAATTCAAATAATCATTTATTATTAAATTCATAATCAAATCTCCTTTGCAAATTTCAAGTTTTGTTCATAGATCAATAATAACAACCATACTAAACATATTTCTCATAACAATCAATGAAATTTTAGAAAAAATATCATAATTAAACAAAATTTTTTATCAAACACTTTAAGGGCATCAATCCTTAAACAATTACTAACCTCTTCCTCTTTAATTTTACTCTCAAAAATTTCATAACATCAATATTGTAATCAATAACCACGTCAAATTTAATTAAAACTCAACCCACACCGTCATAATCTTCTTTCCATTACTGTAAGTTTCAGCTTAATTAATTCAAGGTTCCCTTTCATATACACACGCAGCCACGAACAGCAGCAACAGAGGAGAGAAAAATTTTCCAACTTCAATTATTAACTCACATGCACGCACGGGAACATCAAGAACGAACGTTCACAGCCTCTCACCACTACAGCAACAATTTCTTGAACCCATACACACGCACAGAACCGAGGAGGGAGGAAGAGATTTCAAGATCCTTACCTCTAATCAACAATGGTGAAAGCTAAGAGAAGATGCTGCCACTTAAACAAGGAAGAAAAGGTGAACACAGACCAGCGATGTGCGAAGCAGAGGTAAAGAGAGGAGACTATGGCAGCAACCCGCACAGCAGCGCGCCACATGGTAGAAACTCTTTTCCCTCTATCGATTCATCTGACCAATACCCAACTCCTCCCCTGTTCTTGAATGCTTCAACCGCAGAGAAGTGAAGGAAGAGACGAAGATGATCCTACTCAGTACTCACCACATACGACACCGAATGACAAAGAAGGAAGAAAAGAGGTGGAGTCCAGCACAGTGAATGAGAGAAGATGAACGTGAATTGAGGAAAGAGCAAGGAGAAATTTCTAGATCCAACGAGGAAGATGGCCGTCGGTGTCTTCTTCCCATTTTGTGATCTTTCATCGACAAATAAGGAGAGAAAGACGCTATACTTTATTTTTTTGCCAGACTTACAAATAAGACCCAAATTTGAAACCAGAGAAAAAAGAGATATGTCGGTGAATTCATAAATGTTAGGAATCATAAAAATATATATCTAAAAGTCAAGCTAAATTAAGCCTAAATTCATAAAAGATGTAATATGATTTTTTTTTTAATTTTTACATTTCTGCAATTTGAATCTACTTCTCTTTACATTTACTAAAATAAAATTTTATTTCATTACAATACTTAAATTGCCATGACCATCATTCTTTTGTTGCCAATTTTAAATTTTAAATATAGATATGAAATATAAAAATTTAACTATATTTTTCTCCACTATACACAGTATTGTTTTTCTTTTAAATCTTCTCATATTCTTATTATATATATATATATATATATTATTGGTCAATTAACTTTCTCTGTTTTTTTTTCATTTTTTTAATTATTCTGAAATTCTTATTTATGGAATCGAAGCACCATATCGGAGTGTTTTTAAGTAAGAACGTTCTCAAATAATGAGGCAGAGGATATTAGAACATTTTTGGATTCAAGCACTCCGATATGTGAACCATATAGGAGCATTTTAAAATAAAAATACTCTCATAAATGCTTACAAAATTAAATTAAAAAAAAAGCACTCATGAGAGCTTTTTTAATTAAAAAAATTTCAGGAGCTAACATAATAAAAAAAATTAATTTATACTTACAGGAGCTCCCACAGGTATAAATTAAAAAAAAAATCAAAAAGTAGTTGCAAAACTTTTCTAATAAAGAAATAATACTTTCAATTTTTTTTAAAAAAATCAAAAGTAGTTGCAAAACTTTTCTAATAAAGAAATAATACTTTCAATTTTTTTTTAAAAAAATTAGAATTTATACCTATTAGAAAAGCTACCATAGGATCTTAGATAGGATATTAAAACGCTCCAGAATGATATTTATTTATTTTTTTAAATTTTTAATTTACTCCTTTTAATTCTTTCCTTCTAGATCGTCAGTCCCATTGCTCACCCTCTTCTCCAACCTCTTCTCCAAAACAAGGTCTATTGTCTGAGTCCCCAATCTACTGTAGATCGTGAGTTTCTTCGCTCATCTTCTATTCGAGCTTGTAACCCTCGTCCTCAATCACGTGTTCCAGATTTGGTATTATCGTCATCTTCTTGCGTCCATATCTACCGTGGCATCCTTGCATTCAGATCTTTTGAAGGTCAGACGTCGTCATCGTGTTCCAATCCATTGAAGCTATCGATGACGTCATGTCAAGGTTTGTTGAAGCTCTCAGGCGTTCGTGTGTTAAGCCTACTGTGATTTGCTCTTTTTTTTTTTAGCCAGATTCTCGCATTTTCCAGATCATCTTTGCTCTTAGCCTTCATTCTTGCGTCCTTTGGTCCCTGCTTCTATTCAGCTTCTAGGTTTTTTAATAAATTATATAGCTATTTATTTGTTTACGAATATGACAAATTACTGATCTTAGTTAATCCTCAGATTTATTTGTTTAAGAAAATTATTTGTGTAAGAATATTCTACCTCTCAGATTTATTCTTCTCGGTAGATCATCTTACTTTGCAACACCTTAAATTAATGGGAGAGAGCTTATTTCATCCTATCTTGAATTAAACCTTGCTGATAGTGAGCCCTGCATCTCGGGACTAAAGAGGTAAGTTATGTGTCCGTTTACAATTTTCCTTTCATGGGTTCTATGTTATTGATGTACCAGGTTGGTGTTACGTCGTCAGCAGCAAGTAGGCCCACATAAAACAAGTTTCTATTTGTTTGTTTTTCTCACATTAATTCATGGCCTGCTATATATCAAATCATAGGAATAGCTTCCGTTTGCTTTATTTGTTCTAAAATAGAAGGGAATAAGCTTTTATCATGCTTCAGAGTTTGAAGAACTGTTTGGTTGATCTGATTTCTGTTATATTATTTTCATTGTGGATTCATTTTGCACAGCAACAGCTACAATCTTTGCTTGAAACTCTGAATGCTACTGAGCCACATTACATTCATTGCATCAAGCCAAATAATCTTCTCAAGCCAAGGATATTTGAGAACACTAATGTGTTACAGCAACTTCAATTTCAAAACTTCAAAAAGCTATTAAACTAAATGATACCCAGTGAGTTTATTTGCAAATCAACATCGAAGTTAACATATATTTTGATTTTTCATAGATATGGCTTAGCTGCTGCTGTGATATCGAATGATCTGGAAAGATGTGAACATTTAACTAAGGTGAGACTGATTTAAGATTGTGATAAAAACAACAAAATGATTTGGTTGCTTTTGGACAATTTTTTTTTTTTTTTTTTTGGGATTAGGTTGCTTTTGGATTAAAATAGTCTATTTTGCTTCTCTTTAGGTTTTTCAGGTGGGAATTGTATGGATCAATTGCTCTCAACCGTGCTTCACTCAAGTCCTATGGGGAGGCATTAAACATAGTGGTCTTGGTCATGAACTAGGAGAATGGTATGCTCTTATTTGCTAAATAATAAATGTAAGTCACTGTGAATGCCTTTTATAATTTCTACAAGTGATTGTGACAACGCTATCTTGTTATGATGAAGAAAATCCTCATTACTCTGCACATGTTTTGTTAATGCTTTTAACAGACATACTACAAAACTGACAAGACAAACAAGTGAAAAATATATACTTGGATGCAAACAGAAAGCAAGCGTACTTATTTTCTCAAATCTGTTACTTGTTGAGGACGAATCTGAGTCTTCAAATGCAAGTTAGGAAAGCATATTATAAGTAAGGAGAACTGGTTTGTGGTCAACTTGGTGCTTTGTTGTGCTTTTTAAGTTGGTCATGACATCTTATTTTATCTGCTCTTCCTTGTGTGGTCTCATTAGAGCATATATGAGTTTAAGGAGATTAGTGTCACTAATTTGAGACAAATGACAATAAACTAGCACAATATCTATCAATTTACAGGTCAGGCATATTCCCTCTAGTGCTTCATATGCCAAGTTGCTCCTTTTTTTCTCCCTTGCAAACATTAGATTCTAGAGAAAGCACCTGGTTATTATACTGCAGAATTCTAACTACATAGGAGTAGTTGTGCATGTTGTTGGAAAAGCACCAACTAATTTAGGAAAAATGTAGAATTAGAATAAATCAAGAAAAATCTAGAAATTTTCTCAGCTGAAGCAATACCACAAAGGCGGTGAAAGGATGATTCTAGAATTAATTATTTTAATCCTATAAAGGCGGTAAAAGAGGAAAATTGAGAATGCTGTGGAGAAGCTCTCACGGACATGGTTAATGTATAAATATGTGAGTGTGCGTCATTGTGTCTAGCAGAGAGAATGGAGAAAGAAGAAAGAAGAGTGTGTGAGAGTGAGGAAAGAAAGAGAAAATAAGAAGTACGTGTGTGTATAGCCTTGTAGAATGTGAATAGGTGGTGAGAAAAGTGAGAAAGAGTGTCAGCAAGAAAGAGAAGAAGAAAAAGAGTGAGGGAAAATTACGAGAGAAGATATAAGTATACGTAAATTATAGTTTGAGTGAGTAATGAAAATTTATTTTCAGGTTAGTCCCTCTCTTCCTCCATCATCAAATCCCAACATTTGATATTAAAGCTAGAGCTACTGAGACATAGCTGGGCTGCTCAATAGTAGTTGGTAGAGTTTGAGTATTTAGGCGGAAGACTTCGGGAGTTTAGATTCACTCGAGGATCTGCAAGTACACAGTCTGGGACTATAGAGTAGATCAGTTAGGGACCAGATCCATTTGGTGTAAGTGCAAGGCACTGTTGAGGTCATCATGGCAAACATAACGTCGAATGCTTGTTTAGTGGAGAAGCTAAACCATGAGAATTATCAAGCAATGAGTACAATAGTTGAACTCTACCTTGCAAGTTAGAATCTTTAGGATCTTATTGATGGAGATGACGCTACACCCCCAACAAATCCAAGTGAATTGAAGAAGTGGCAGGTAAGGGCTAAGAAAGCTCTTTACATAGTGATTGTTATTGTTGAGCTATAATTCACTAGATATGTCAAATATGATGCGAAGTTGCAGTTGTTGGAGAATGAGCTTGCCTCAATTTGACAAAATGATATGTGGCTAAGTGAGTATTTTTCAAAAGTTAAATCTATTTGTAATGAGATTTCAAAGTTAGATCTAAGGAACCCTATCACTGACGCAAGGATGAGAAAAATTATTATTATGGGGTTAAACCCAAAATATCATGGTCTAGTTACGGCAACAAGAGGTTGGTTTAAGGAACCAACTTTAGCTGAGTTGGAAAGTATCCTAGCTAATCAAGAAGCATTGGATACTCAAATGTCCAAAGTTTTTTTGAAAGATGATGAAAAGGCTTTCTTTTGTAAAAAGAGATATCAATGAGAGGATTCCAACTCAAAGAAGGAGGGAGATGATAAAAGGCAACAAAATGACTAGCATAGAGGATGTTGCAATAGAAGCTCACATCAAGGGGATCTTGTGAAGATTGAAACAAGCCTGAAGAGAGGAAAAACTATCGATAAAGAGGCCAATGCTATAATTGAGGGAATGTCGGCCACTTTGCTCGAGATTGTTGGTATAGAATGGCTGAAGGAAATGTTGTCACCTCCAGCAATAAGACAGCGAGGAAGAATGGGATTTTCAGGCTTCAAGTACCATTGAAGGAGAGATAGCGATAGAAGATTTTAGTGAAGAAGAAATAGAAATGTCTTGCATTTTGGAAGAAGCAAATGAAGACAAGGAAGAGAGCATTAAGGTAAACGAGAATGAAGATGCAAATAAGGACGCAGAAGATATAGAGAAACTCAATTTGGAGAAAGTAATTGAATCATTTTGGTGTTCAGAGATCAATCAAGAAAAAATATGAAGATCAAAACGAAGAACATAGAGAGGAAGACCAATCACCACCATTTATGGAGATACAGAAGTCAAGTATCAAGAATGTTTCAAGGCACAAAATGAAGACCAGTGCTTACGAGTCTCCTCAACAAGACAGAGTAGACTGCGACAAGTTTAAGAAACCGTTTAGGAGACTGAGAAAAACACGAAGCAATTTGGCTTGGCAAAGATGTTCCAAAATTAGTCGGTGAGGGGAGTGTTGGAAAAGCACCGACTAATTTAGAAAAAATCTAGAGTTAGAATAAATCAAGAAAAATCTAGAAATTTTCTCAGCTGAAGCAATATCACAAAGGCGGTGAAAGGATGATTCTAGAATTAATTATTTTAATCCTATAAAGGCGGTGAAAGAGGAAAATTGAGAATGCTGTGGAGAAGCTCTCACGGACATGGTTAATGTATAAATATGTGAGTGTGTGTGTCATTGTGTATAGCAGGGAGAAAGAAAGAAAGAAAGAAGAAAGAAGAGTGTGAGAGTGAGAAAAGAAAGAGAAAATTAGAAGTGCGTGAGGGTGTAGCCTTGTAAAATATGAATAGGTGGTGAGAAAAGTGAGATAGAGTGTCAGCAAGAAAGAGAAAAAGAGAAAGAGTTAGGGAAAATTATGAGTGAAGATATCAGTATTTGTATAAATTATAATTTGAGTGAGTAATGAAAAATTATTTTCAATGGAGTCCCTCTCTTCCTCCATCATCAAATCCCAACACGTCACAGGTAATTCAGACGATAACTTGTGTTTGCCCCCTGTGACATGCACAAGATTTAGGTAATGCAAAATTTTAATCGTCTGGTAAACACTAGTTATAGTTTGAATTCCACCTAGATTATATATTTGTGACTCTGAAAATTGGCTAAAGTTTATTCAAATACTACTGAATTATTAATTTTTTTTTTGTGCCCTTTGATGAAGAAGAATTATAATTAGTGGGGTTTGAAAGTTGGAAGTACTAAATGTATATAAACAATGTATTGTGTGTAATAAATGTTGAATTATGGAAACATGAATCAACAAGATCAATGTGCGTACATACAAGTAAGCTTTCATTTGATATTGATTTTGTTAAAGTCCAGAAACACATGCACTGATTCGATCTTGGATGGTATTTATATCTCCTTTTTCCTACATTATTGTTCCTCTGCTTCAATTTCTGTAGATATATCCAACCTTCGATTGTAAATTAAATCTTGAAGATTATCAGATACCTATTGGTGTCAGCTGAAATTTGCATTTAAGCCCAGTAATAGTTTTTGCTGAGCATGGGATGGTAGGAATTATCAATATTTTTCTTTTCTTTTTCAACCATTTTGACTTATTTTTAAGAAAATGATTTGAGTTATATTTTTATGTAAATTTTGCTTGAGTAGTTATCCTCTGACAAAGGGAAATCGTTAAGCTTCACGGCTCGTTATTGATGGAGTTTAGTATTATTATATTTGTAATTTTTGATATTCTTATATATAGCATTTTTTTTTTCATCCAAAATGCATTTTTGATGGGTTCCTTTGCTTGAGAGAAAGTGATCCTACTTAGAAATTTCATTCATTTTCTAATAGATTTGTTTGTTAGTTTTTTTAGTTGTTCTAGTTTGCCTTTTGGTATCTGAAGTCGTCACTTACGTTAATTGTACAAATAAAATTTCTCGTGCAAGTTGATAGTATATTATTATATCTTGTTATTATGATTTATTTGTTAAAAGATGTGTATTTAAATTTTTAGTTAAATGATTATAACATTTAAAATTAAATATGAAGCAGGCTAGCATTAAAAAATAAATGTGTGTTTTTTTTTTAAATAAACCTACGGGGACTTTTTTAGTAAAACATAGTTCCTATAAAGGTACCATATGGGAGCTTTTTGGAGGAGTAACACTTATGATAGGCCTACAGGAGCTCTTCTTCCATGAAATGCTCCAGTAGGCCTATCATATAAGTGCTTTTCTACATATAAAAGCTCTTGTGAGGTAGGCCTATAGAAACATTTATGGCAAAAAATGCTCCTATATGCTTACCCACAAGAGCATTTCAAAAACACTCCTGTACATATAGGAACTCATGTTTTTGGAGCATTTTGAAAATGTTTTGAAAAGGTGAAAATAAATGCTCTAAAAGGCTTTTTTTTTTTTAGTATTGTTTAACAACTCACCAATTATATGCTTGTTGCCTTTTATATAGAGAGAGGCAACAATGCTTTCCTTCAAATTTGAAATTCACTACCAGAAGGAACAATATAACCATTTGCTCCGATTTGAGTATTGTTGGTGCGCTTTGTTTAGGTTAAGTGGCAAGGTGATTGCTGAGTTTCTTGAATAGTGGGGAAAGTGGCCTCAAGACTTGGATGCCACTCTATCAAAATGCAGCGTTTCCATTAAAATGCTGCTAGTGCCTTAGTTGATTTTTGATTTCAAGCCTAATGCACCAATTTAATTAGCCCAAACACACTTTATTAATTAGATAGCATAGTTATTAATGGTATGGGGTTTTGAGAAAAAAAATTAAAAGGTTAGGAAGGTTAATTTAATTAAACATTTGAAAGGGAGAGGGTTTTATTTTAGTCAAAAAAAGTGAGAGCGTTATAACCAACTATATTAAAATTCAAGGAAATTTTGTATATTTTAACTTTCATAATACCATTCATTGAATTTTTACTCCGTGGTTTTTTCTCTCTCTTAAATAGATTTGTGTTTATATGCAATAATCAATAACTGCTTAAAATATTAATTCTTAATAAACTATCTCAGAATAATATTGAGTAATTTTTAAATTTCAAAGCATTAACTAAGTTTAGTCATATTCCTTAATCATTTTTTTAATGGGTTATTATAATAAGGATCAAAGGGATAATATTCAAATGAAATAATTTTGCAAGTAATACAGAAAACATCTGGCTCAACATTTGAAGAAAAGCTTCACAAGAAGATTCTCACACTTAACTTCACCACACTAATTAGTTCTTGGGTGCACAGTCATATGGAGTTCGAAGTTCACGAACATACGTGCAGGGTACTGTTGTCATTTATTGCAGAACACTGATAATTGATATAAGAAATTTAAGTATACACCTGCATTATGCAAAAATATATATATATATATATCGATCGTTCTGTCAAAAGAACTAGATGAAAGAAAAGCTATACAACTATGCTTACATGTTTTTCTTAATTTTTGATTATTTATTTGATTAACATATTTTTAAATACCAGTTATAAAATGTAACAAAAGCTACTTAAGTAAACAGTTTAATAGGAAAAATTAAATAATATAGAACATAAAATAAAATGAAAGGTAAATTGTATAATATGGGGCCCTCTTGGAGTTAATTATGCCTATTTAAGGTTATATTTGGTTTAATTGGGATGTAAAATTCGTATTTCACTAATTATTGCCTTAAGTAGGTATTTTATGGAGACTCCATGTTATATCAAGCATTTAATAAATAATTTGACTTGTGAATTATAAATTTTTACTTGTAAATTATGAAATTATAATTATAAGTGAAAGAAAACAAACAACCTCAAATTACAATTAGGTTTTAAAAGATTTCATTGCCGTTTTTAAATTTCAAAAGATTTATTTATAAATAAATATATTGTTTGGGATTTATTCATAATTTTTTTAAGAATTAACCGATCTCATTTGGGAAGAAGATATCCCCCCCCCCCCCCAATTGGCGTGGCTAGCCATAACTGGTTGCTAGTCACGATCATTATCCCCACCTCGATAGATGAGGTTTTTAGCATCCAAGGAATCTGAATATATCTTCGCCATCAAAATACGGAGCAAATTCAAACAAAATTCCATTCCCCATCCAATGGCCTTGATCTCAGCATTAGTTATTGGTACGCTTGCCCAATTTGTAGATAAAACCTTACAGCCACATGTTGCACTATTATACTGAGGATGCATCGACATCAATGCGCACGAGCCCTATGGTGCGGTCCATCAACTTCGGATTTTTGAGTAGTATTCCGCCTGCACCTGTTTGGCCAGATAAGCTATCAGCTGTTCCCAAACCCTTGGGTCCAAGATCAGTGTTGGAATTGACGGCCCCAATTTTGTGTGATGTACGTATTATATGAGAAAAAAAGTGGTTATGATAAATAATAAATAATAATAAACTGGATTAATAATATCATTTCCTGTATTTTTTTTGGCTCTCAAGCAATCTCTCAATATATGAGGAAAAAAAAAATGATTACCAATTTACGAGACTGATATGAGATTTTTTATTCTTTTTTTTTTTTGGTTTTGCACAAAAAGGAGCCCATTTTATTAATATAAAAAAAATTATTGCACAAACTGATCACAAAAAGCAAAAGGAAACGAACACCTAGGATACAACTTATCAGAAAAGTAAATTCCAAAAATACAACCTACAAAGTAAAAGCAAACCAAAAAAGCAACAGCACCTGCAAAAAAAAAAAAACAAAGAAAGAAACAGTCAACCAATACCTTCACGTGGCCGAGCCTCAAGCACCCGACCGCTTGAACAATGCAACCTTTTGGAATCAGCAAAAAGAATTGGCACCGGAGGAAATGGTGCTTCAAGAAGCCTCCAGCAGGATACATCTCCCTCAAACCTTTAGCTGCAAGCAGATCGTTTTGGAAGTGTTAATATGGTAACAATTATTTAAGCAGAAAATTCATGGATAGCTTGGAACATATAGTAGCGGACTAGCGGTGAAGGACATAATTAAGAAGTAGATTAGAGTCATTGTACATCAAATATTTATGTTGTGGGGATTGTACGAGGAAAGGCATTATAATGTAATTTGTCTCATGCTAATTGGATGTGTGCAAATTGAGGCAGAGCAATGATTGGATAATATTGTAGAATTCCATAGAGTTCCATCATTTTAGTCGTGGGTCAAGAATTACAATATTCCTTTGATAGGCTTTTCAATAAGCTTTGGGTACTATCACAAACTAATGATTGATATGGAAGAACAATTCAAATTTTAGACATTATAATAAGATATTGTGTTTTGATTGTTGGTGGAAGTTGGAACAACTACTTTGGATTTTAGGGAGTTGCACTATAACAATGAACATTTCCATTTGAATGGTGTGATGTTAACAAATTTTTTGGAGACTAAATTTGGTGCAAGATGTCATTGTGAAGGTGAAGGTAAGTAGAGAAAGACTACTAACAACTAAATTAAAGTCGTCAGGAATCTTGTGTGGACAACCGATATCAAGAGTTAGAGTTTATAATCAAGGGAAAAGTGGCTTCTCAAGGTATCTTCTATAAAGAATGTGATGAAATTTTGGAAGAAAGGAAAATTGAGCTCAAGGTATATCAACCCATTTGAGATCCAAGAGAGAGTGGTGTTACTTGCTAGTTGGCATTACTGCTTGAATTATTGGGTATTCATACAGTGTTTCATGTATTGATGTAGCGAAATATTTTTATGACCTTTCACATATGCCCTTCTCATAAACCAAAAATTTAACATAGGAGGAAGTTCCTGTGACCATTAAAAATAGACAAATACAGAAGTTATGATTAAAAAAAATCGCCTCTGTGAAGGTGTTGGGATGTAACCTTTTTCGAGAGGACACTATATGGGAAGTTGAAAGTTACCTTGCACTTATTCGAAGACTAAGATCAAGTAATATTTAAATTCTAAGAACCAAATTTTTTTTAAGGGGGGAGAATTTAATAACCCTAAAATT